CAGTTGTTCCCAGTTCCTCCCAATGTCATCCACAGGATGCCCCAGTGTCCCCCAGTCTTCCCTGCAATATCCCCAGTGTCCCCAGTTTCTCCCAGTATCACCCAGTGTCACTCCCAGTATGTCCCAGTGTCTCCCACAGCGTTCCCAGTGTTCCCCAGTATGTCCCAGTCCTCCCCAGTGTTTCCAAGGACAGTTTAATTTCTCTCGGTGGCCGTGGCAGCCAAACCCAGCAGTGGGGTCAGTGCAGTGCCCATGGCCACAGCCCCTTGCAGTGGCCCAGTGCAGCTTGGGCTGATGATCCACCCTCACAGCTGGCCCAGGGCAGCTCTGCAGTGGCTTTGGTGGCACCTGGGGCTGGCACACACCTGAGCAGTGTGTCTGTTTGCAGTGGGGAAACTCAGGAGTTTCAGATTGCTTCAAAAAATCCCAAAAAGTGAAAACCCCTCTTAGGCTGAGTGCAGCCAGCTCTGCAAGCATAGCAGGTCCCAGGGGAGTGAGGACAGACAGGATGGGGCTGGGCAATGTGGAGCAAGGTTGTCCACACTGGGTCAGAGCTCAAGGCACAGCTTCTGTGAGCAGGCCAGAGCTGCTGAGGAGAGACCCTGGGTCAATATCAATCACAGAATGCTGCAATCATCTCTGATGTAAAGAGAAATAAATTAAAATACTTCATTTCAAATAGGAATGTGTATTTCTTACAAGTTCTTTGAAATCTTTCCCAATAACATGACTAGCAAAAATTTAATGACCCTCACAGGGCATTGATGTTGTTTACATCAGACTCAGTGACTGAGAGTGACTTCAAAAAACTTCTCAAGAACTCAAAGTTAAATTGAAACTCCAAAGTTCCTTGAAGTTTTAATGGGTCCCACTGAGGGACACAACTCAGAAAGTGTCCCCAGGTTCCAGTTAGAGCAGAACACTGGAGGCAGTGATGACAGCTGGGGACAAACAAGGCCGAGGTGTCTCTGGTGCTCAGCAAAGCTGGATGTGTTTGAGGAATGCAAAGGGCCAAGGCCTGAGCCCCAGCCCCTGACCAGGCAGATGCTGTCCCTCCCTCCTTGCTCAGGGCTCTTGCCGGGATGGGCACTGGCATGTGGGGATGTGCAATGGCAAGGGCAGGAGCATGGGGCGGCCCCTGCCAGGCTGCTGAGCAGGGACAAGGAGGCAATGAGGCCCCAGGCCTGCAAGGGTCGCTTGTCTCCTGCTCCTGCCTCAGGCCCAGGCCCAGCAGCCATGGCCAAAGTGCTGCCCAAGGTGGCTCTGGCAGGGCTGTCTTGCAGCTGCTGCACATGCCTGTGCCCTGTGCAGCCCAGGCTGTGCTGCGGTGTCCCTGCCCTGCACCTCTGTCCCTGCAGGCTGTCAGCATCCCCCGGCTGCCCCACCTGGCTGGCCCCTTCCTTTGCTGACAGCTCTGCCTCCTGCCTGCCCCTGCCTGCCCACACAAAGCCTGGGGCTGATACCAAAAGGCTTCATTCCATGTTTACCCTGCCTGTGAACTCTCAGCACAGGAACAAGGCATGCAGGGGCTGCTTCCCCAGCAAGGATGGTTGGAAGAAAAGAAGAAGACATCTGGCTCAAGGGTGCAGGGATAGAGAAAACAAGGAGTGAATCTGGGAACTTGGAGTGGGTTTTTTGGAAGTGGGTAAATTGTAATTCATATTTAGGGTCTGTATATAAGGAACACCCTGGTACAATTACATGTACACATATGGTTAGGAGTTATCCCATTTTGGACCTTAAGCCTGAATAAATGATTCCCTCTTAATTGGAAATTAGTGGTAGGGAGCCTTATTCTGATATTTCAGAGATTTGGTGATAGTGGTCCCTCACAGACCCAAGGAGTCAGCTGTGACACTGTGCAAACTCATGGAACAAAGGGTCCATGGTGACACAGCAGAACCCCACAGAACCAAAATCCATTTTGGCACCTTGGGGCCACATTGAACCAATGATCCATTGTGATGCTGTGGATCCAAGGAGACCATTGTGACCTGAGAAACCTCTTGGAACCAAGGGACCATTGTGATGCAGGAAGGCCTGGTGCAACCAGGAGCCAGGAGCAGGAGACAAGTGACCCTTGCTGGCCCGGGGCTTCATTGCCTCCTTGTCCCTGCTCAGCAGCCTGGCAGGGGCCGCCCCATGCTCCTCCCCTTGCGTTGCACATCCCCACATGCCAGTGTCCATCCCATCAAGAGCCCTGAGCAAGGAGGGAGGATCAGGATCTGCCTGGCCAGGGGCTGGGGCTCAGGCCTTGGCCCTTTGCATTCCTCAAACACATCCAGCTTTGCTCAGCACCAGAGACACCTTGGCCTTGTTTGTCCCCAGCTGTCATCATTGCCTCCAGTGTTCTGCTCTAACTGGAACCTGGGGACACTTTCTCAGTCATGTCCCTCAGTGGGACCCATAAAACTTCAAGAAACTTTGGAGATTGATTGTGACTTTAAATTCTTGAGAGCTTTCTTCAACTCTCTCTTAGGGACTGATGTTCAGGGACTCAGCACCCAACCCACAAGAGAAGTCCTTGTGCAGTGTCTCTGCTGCTGGGATGGGCCAGGCTCCTGGCACAGAGGCAGCTCCTGGCAAGGGCAGCAGAGCTGCAGAGAGACAGCTCTGGCCAGGAGCAGCTCCTCTCCCAGCCCAGCAGGGCTGGGGCTCTGCCTGCAGCCACCCGGGCACAGCACAGAGGCACAGAGAGAGCAGAGGCAGCCTGGGCTAGGAGGGTGATTGAGCTCTTGCCAGGGGACAAATTTTCCCAGGGTTTGAATGAATAATTCTCTGCCTCTAGGAAAGTTAAAATTCCATTCCTGGAGGCTTCTCCTAAGGCTGGCACATCCCACAGTTTCCATGATCTTTTGCAAGCCCTCACCCAGTTCCTCCTCTGCAGAGGAGGCGGCCATAGGGCAGACAGGGGAGTATCTGCAGGCGGCAAGGGCAGGCAGCACAAGTGACGAAGAGGTTAAAGGTGTGGGGTGGGCAGACAGGAGAGACCACATCAGGGGAGAAATCTGCACAGCCCCTGGACACAGTGAGTCTCTGGCTGCAGAGCAATGCAGGTGAGTTCCTGGAAGTGTCTCTGACAATGCCAGCACTGACAGGACCTGTCAGGATGGCTCTCCTGGATGTCCTGGTGTGGAGCAGAACAAGCTCCAGAGTGAGGCTTCCCTGCTGCCCCCTCAGAGGCACAGGACAGGTCCCTGCAGGGACAGGCAGAGCTGCCCCAGGGCCGTGGGGTGGAGATGGGCTCTGTGAGCCCTGGCAGGGAGCGGAGCTGGGCACAGCGAGACGCTGCTGGCAGCAACAGCCCCACTCAGCAGAGACACGGGCAGGGAGGGACAGGGAGCTGCTGCCACAAATGCTGGCCTGGGGGATGTGGCACCTCCCTGCTGTCCCTGTGGCTCAGGCACCTTCCCCCATCAGCTCCTCCCTGGGCTCCTTTCCCATCCTAAACAGAGCCCCTGCCCTCATCCCACGGGGGCTCGGCTGTGCAGAGCCCCTGCAGCAGCCAGAGCCCAGGGAAGGAAGGACAAGCCCCTGATTTCCATCAGTCTCTATGTCCCTGCTGTCCCCTGGCAGGAGCATTGTGACATTTCTCTGCCATCTCCAGGTGCCTGTGCTGTCCTTTTTGCCACCATTGGGGTTTCTGAGGCAGAGCCAGGGTTTGGGGCTGGCAGGTGCCCGTCCAGGCAGGGACCCCTTGGATCCTGCTGCGGAGATGTGTCTGTGGGAGCAGAGTGCCCAGGTGCCCTCAGGGCCGTTCAGCTCATTCCCTGGGTGTCCTGCAGGGCTGCAGGGTGCTCTCCAGAAGGGCACAGCTCTCCTGTGCTGTTTCTGGGCTGCCTGGGATCCCCATGGAAGAGACAGCTCAGTGGCAGGGCCAGGGAAATGCTGCTGGGCAGCTGCACCTGGGCACTGCAATGATCCCTCTGTGCACCAGCCTGGCAGGAGACAGCTGAGATCCTCATGAGGCACTCTGGGAGAAGGCGAGGGCTCTGTCCATGTGCTCTCTGCCCAGAGCCCTCTGCCCTCAGCACTGCCCTGTTTCTCTGAGGGGAACTCCTCTGGGTGCCTCTCCTTCAGCTCCAAGCTGCCAGCAAGGGGCAGCTGAGAACAGCCCTGATGGGCAGAGCTGGTCTCTTGTCCCTGCACTGAGAGTCCATCCCTGTGCCTCTCACACCCACACGGTTTCACCTGCAGTGCTTTAGAAATGTCAGGGATTTCAAACACTCGCAACCAGTCCTAACTGTGGCAGGTGCAACTGGATGAAAAAAGACAAGGACTTTCCTCAGCTCAGTTCTTCAGATGGGCAAATTGTAAACAGCAGGACTGAAAAGCATTCTGGTGTTTCAGGAGTCCATTTAATTGGTGATCACCCAGCCTTCTCAGTTGCCTCTCACTGAACAAAAAGAAGGAATCCTCTGGAGCCTGTTTGGGAGCCCCTGGTCTCAATGCCTGAAAAACCCAGGTCCCAGGTGAGGAGAATGCAGAGAAGTGGTTCCAAAAAGAGAGATCCTGAATGTTGAATTGCTGTAGGATATGCAATATATCTTGCTCTGTGTTGAGCCCGGCTCTGTCCTGCCTTTTCCTCCTCAGCAGAAAACCATTTCCTAAGGCAGCAAATGTTCAACAGCAGCTCCATCAGGCACTTCCTCCTGCTGGCATTGGCAGACACGCGGCAGCTGCAGCTCCTGCACTTCTGCCTCTTGCTGGGCATCTCCCTGGCTGCCCTCCTGGGCAACGGCCTCATCATCAGCGCCGTAGCCTGCGGCCACCACCTGCACATGCCCATGTTCTTCTTCCTGCTCAACCTGGCCCTCAGCGACCTGGGCTCCATCTGCACCACTCTCCCCAAAGCCATGCACAATTCCCTCTGGGACACCAGAGACATCTCCTACTCAGGATGTGCTGCACAGGTTTTCTTCTTTCTCTTCTTTATCACAACAGAATTTTCCCTCCTGACCATCATGTGCTACGACCGCTACGTGTCCATCTGCAAACCCCTGCACTACGGGACCCTCCTGGGCAGCAGAGCTTGTGCCCACATGGCAGCAGCTGCCTGGGCCAGTGCCTTTCTCAATGCTCTGCTGCACACAGCCAATACATTTTCCCTGCCCCTGTGCCATGGAAATGCCCTGGACCGGTTCTTCTGTGAAATCCCACACATCCTCAAGCTCTCCTGCTCCAAATACTACCTCAGGGAACGAAAAGTTTCTGTTTTCACTGTCTCCGTAGCTTTTGGTTGTTTTGTGTTCATTGTTTTTTCCTATGTGCAGATCTTCAGGGCTGTGCTGAGGATCCCCTCTGAGCAGGGACGGCACAAAGCCTTTTCCACCTGCCTCCCTCACCTGGCTGTGGTCTCCCTGTTTTTCAGCACTATCGTGTTTGCTCACCTGAAGCCCCCCTCCATCTCCTCCCCATCCCTGCATCTGGCAGTGTCAGTTCTGTACTCGGTGGTGCCTCCAGCCCTGAACCCCCTCATCTACAGCCTGAGGAACCAGGAGCTCAAGGCTGTAATGTGGAGACTGATGACTGGATGGTTTCAGAAACAATAAACTGCTGGCCAGTTTCTGCAAGTCACTCCTAATAAGAGTCATCTTTGATAGTACTTGGGTTTGGTCGTTTGTTCTTTTTATTCCTTTGTTTTAGTTTTTAAATATTGTCCCCAAAGGCATGCCATTGTTTGTGCCATTTCTCATTTTGTTTCTCTCCATCTTCCCTGTGGCCACAGATTGTACCAATAAGGTCCTGTGCTCTCAGTGGCTTTAAATAAACTAAAGGATCTCCCAGAAAAGTTTTCTGCAGAGATACCCATTTCCTTGCCTACTATGGACCTGCAGCAGCAATGTCTGTGTGCAGAGCTGGGGGTATGTCAGGGGCTGCACAGCAGCTATGCTCCTGCTGGCCACACCACTCCTAATCCAGGCCAGGAGCCATTGGCCTTCTTGCCCACCCGGGTGTGGGATTTCTCAGCTGTTCAGATGGTCTGGGGAAAAGCCCAAAGAGGCCTTGGGCCCCCGGGTTCGAAAGGACGAGAGGAAGCTTCAGATTTGTTCTTGGTCTTGGTGTTTATTAATTGCTTATCTAAAAGATTTTCTCTTGGCCTGACAGAGTTCTGCTCAGCAGTCAGCCATGGGCACACACTGAAAGCCCCTGGGGCGGTCACCTATCTTTATACCCGGAGTTACGTATACAATATTTATCATTTTTCTCCAATACCCTCTACCCTTATTAACCAGTGTTCCCCTAGTAAGGTCCAATCCCGGAGTGCCAACATCACCACAGAAGATGGAGGCCTAGAGGAAGAAGAAGAAGGAGAAGGGCACGCCCCAATCCCTCCATCTTGCCTCTCTAGACCCCCCTGTACAGGGATCTTAAACCCTGTATCTCACACTCCAATTAACTTGTCCCTTCACCATTCACCCCAGTGAAATCCTCCCGTCCTCATACTGATGTCATCTCCCATGTGGGATCAAAGTCCAGCCACCAGACATCTCTGGCAGCATTCCAGGACTCCCGAGCCCCCCAGGGGGGGTCTTCTTCATCCTGCACCCCAGTTCTGAGAGACTGAGATCCCACATCTCCCCCTTCTGTTTGCACCAAAAAGATCTTTTTCGCCATCCGATTCATTGCATGTTTTAAACATGCAAATATGCATGGGACAACAAGTATGAGGACTAGGAGAACTATTAAAACATAAAACCCTATTTTTAAGATTCCTCTCCAAATGGGAGAGATGTCAAAGAATTCTGCCAATTGATCGATCCATGATCCTGTGATCTCACCAAGCTTATTTATGCTGTCCTTTATATTTTTGATATTTTCATGAATTGACTTTGAATGATCTGAGAGATTCATGCAGCACATCCCTTCGAACTCTTCACACCCATGTCCATGAGCGAGCAATAGATAATCGATTGCTGCTCTATTTTGAAGAGTCGCCTGTCTCACACTACCGACGTCTTTTAACATATCATCCAATGTGACAGACACAGACCGCGCATGTTTGCTCAACCAACAACCCATGCGGTCGATCTGAGTCAAGGCCACCCCCGATGCTGTCTGAGGTGAGAAGATTGCTGTAGCAATACTCGTTTTCTTGTCCCAAGAAAACATTTCATCATTGCAATCTGCCGCATATTGCTGTATTGATCTTTTTTCTCTGTGCCTTTCCTCTCTTAACATGTTCAAATCAGGCGATAGCATTGAAATTTCCCCAATGCTGCATGGACCTCCCGTGGCATTAGCAGGAATGCCGTGCCAAATTCTGTCCCCGCAAATTAAGAACAGACCCCGCGGCAATTGCACCGGAACTTGGATCGATCCTTTGGTAGTTCTCTTTGTATATTTACACCAAGCTGAGGCATTCTTATAAAATTCATGAGTGGGAGTTAAATCAATAGTTTTCACCTTTGTGACTTTCGGAGCTTCAAACTGCATGCAGAGTCTCATTGTCATGGACCCAAAAATCTCCAATTCCTGAGGTTCTGTAGAAGCCACAGGAAGCAGGTGTGTCCAAGCACACCACTCTTTTATAGGATTTTTAATGACCTGCGAAATGTTAATTGCAGAGTGCCCTGGAACTGGCCATTGGTCCACTGGCAATCCAACCATGCATGCTGAAAACGGTTTACCTGGTCTTGAATGTGTCAGGCAGATGCTGTCTAAATTCGCTGCCCGAGCTAAAGCCTCCCATACATTTTGCCTTGGTTGACTAACAGGTAAATCTCCCCCACTGCTTACTGCAATGAATGAAAGAACGATGCACATAAGCATCATGAAACCCATTACTTTGCTTTTGTGTGAAAACCCCCCAGAGTCCTTGGTTTCTTTTTTATTTCTCTTCTGGGTCGTTTTTCGCAGTCTGAGTCTCGACTTCTGTCTGAGTACTCGTCTCTCTGCTTCTTGGATCAGCATTCTCGTGTTCTCGCGTTCGGAATGGCTTCACATGCCGCGCTGACACCCACTTCAGACCTCGATCTGTGGAGATACAAGCGAAACCCTTTCCCCAAGCGATTAGTCTGAAAGGACCCTCTATTTGTCCGGTCTCTGGGTTCCTGATCAAAACTAAAGGATTTTCCCTTAGCTTTGCCTGTGTGTTGTTTAGAAAATGTCTCACGATCGGTGGATCAGATGGATAATCCCTTTGTCGTGTTAACATTGTTTTCTTCGAGGCGCTTTTCTTTTTATATATTGTTGGAAAAAATTGCTGCATTGTTGCAGTCTCGCCACGAGATGGCGCTGTGGCTCCGCCGAGCCGACCCGGCATGTCGTGCACTTCTGCCCTCCTGCCACTAGGTGGCGTTGTCACCGGCCTCCCTGGCTCGGATGACGGTGCAATCTCGACTACCCTACTTCCTCTTCCGGCTCGGCGTCTCCCATGAAGGGAAGGAACTGAAACTCCGAGGCTCGAGACCAAAGGCGCCAGATCTGGAGACGGAGTGGAGCCCTGGGACGTAGAATCCCTAACACGGCCCCTCCTCACCCGCGACGTCACAGGGGACCGGGCTCGGGCCCGCCCGCGTCTTACTCTCTGCGCGTGCGTGCTCTCTGAGCTACTTCCGGTGTCCCCCAAGGTAACGTCATCATCGTCTCCCCCCTGTTTCACCTCCGAGGTTCCCGCCCCTCGGTCTGTCCCGGAATCCGACCCCTCCTCCTCTGATGTTGTGTTCGCCTCCCCCGCCGGCACCCCGGCTCTACCCGCGATTCGAGCTGATCGTCGCACCGGCTCTGACGTTACACCCGCGCGCCTCCTGCGTCCCGCCGCGGCGGCCCTCCGGGGCTGCGCGTTTTCCCTCAGCCCGCCTTGCGCGCTCGCCGCCCCCGCGCTGGTATGTGAGTCTATCCCCCGGTTTTTGCGAGTTTCGCCCTCCGCGGGCGTGTCCTCATCCTCACCGGCGCTGCTCGCGCCCGCCGCCGCCGCCGCGTCGCCGCTTTCGCCGCGAGCAGGCCCCCCCCCCGATCCCTTATCTTCCTGCTCCCCCCCTTCTGCTCCTGACTCCTCCACACTCTCTGGAGTTTCAGGACGCCCTTGGGGTTTGTTGCATTTTTTGATCGGGGGTTTTAATATTTTTTCCTGCTCTCTTTTTTCGAGAGCCCTTTCCCCCTGGCCTTTCAAAGCCAGAGCAATTTTTTTCCCGGAGCTCTGCCGCTCCGCCCCCTCCTCTGAGGGTGCCGCAGCTTCTCGCTGCTTTTCCAGTTTTTTAGACTGGACTGCAATACCTTGTAACATGATTCTTGCCGGCGAGAGTAGCTTTAACGCTGTCTCATCTTTTTTTGTTGCTAAAATATATAAATGCCTATTAATCTCTTGCCAAAACCCGACTTCGAACAAAAGATATGTTTCTGCAAGTGGGTAATTGAGCCTTGCCCATAATAACAGCTGTTTTAATTCTTTCTTTGGGATCCCTTCTGTATATAATTCTGCTACACTTTGTAAGGTGGATAAGATTTCCCGTTGTTCTTGGGAGAGTGTTGCCCCCATAGTATTATTTTGGCCTTCTTACCGAATCTGTCGCCAGCGTGGTCTGGAGGCCCTTGTTCTCCGTCCAGCAGATTACGAGGGATGGATCAGAGGCGCCTTTCTGGTCCCAGTCCAGGCCGCTCTGCTACGAGCTGTCTTCAGCAGAAGCTGAGAGATGGGATTTCTCAGTGACTGCTGATTTTTGCAGCTTCTCCCGGCCGGTTTTTTCTTTTTCTTCTTTCTTTCTTCAGGCTTCCCTCCTCTGGAGTTATCAGTGCTGTTCTCTTGGCTCTTCAGCTCTTCAGGGCTTTCCCCCCCCCGAAAGGTTTGGTGGGAGATAGCCCGCACAGCGGACGCCAATTGTGGGATTTCTCAGCTGTTCAGATGGTCTGGGGAAAAGCCCAAAGAGGCCTTGGGCCCCCGGGTTCGAAAGGACGAGAGGAAGCTTCAGATTTGTTCTTGGTCTTGGTGTTTATTAATTGCTTATCTAAAAGATTTTCTCTTGGCCTGACAGAGTTCTGCTCAGCAGTCAGCCATGGGCACACACTGAAAGCCCCTGGGGCGGTCACCTATCTTTATACCCGGAGTTACGTATACAATATTTATCATTTTTCTCCAATACCCTCTACCCTTATTAACCAGTGTTCCCCTAGTAAGGTCCAATCCCGGAGTGCCAACATCACCACAGAAGATGGAGGCCTAGAGGAAGAAGAAGAAGGAGAAGGGCACGCCCCAATCCCTCCATCTTGCCTCTCTAGACCCCCCTGTACAGGGATCTTAAACCCTGTATCTCACACTCCAATTAACTTGTCCCTTCACCATTCACCCCAGTGAAATCCTCCCGTCCTCATACTGATGTCATCTCCCATGTGGGATCAAAGTCCAGCCACCAGACATCTCTGGCAGCATTCCAGGACTCCCGAGCCCCCCAGGGGGGGTCTTGTTCACCCTGCACCCCAGTTCTGAGAGACTGAGATCCCACACCCGGGCACAGTGCTGCCT